CCTAAGAAGGAAGGGTCTGATTTTCCTCCTGAAGCCATAGGTGGCCAGAGGTGCCCAGCTGGCCGTGGAGGGCGGTGCTGACTCGTGCATAACCGTAGGTTTCACACTGGGCACGTCCAGGCGGGGCACAAATCTTCTCCCTGAAACTGAAATGAAAGCTCTGGGCCATTTTAAAAGCAGTTTGAGGAAGCTGTTTGTGCAGCAGTTGGTAAGAAGTCACAGGCCTCCTCTGGAGGAAGAAAGCGCAGGGTGGAGCTTTGGGGTGACATGTGGGTGTTACAAGCTAGAAAGACTTGGGAGATCTCCCGGCGCTCGGATTGTGTGTTTTCTGCTGATAGATGCTTTGTGGGAGGAATGTCCCTGAAATGAAAGGATTGATACCTGGGGGCTGACGGTCGGTCGCTTTGTGGTTTCCATCCATGGGGGACAGTGAGTGAGCCGTGAGGTCTGTACAACAATGCGTTCAACCTGCCCAGGGGAGCCACAGGCCCCACTCTGGATCTTCTAACAGTCTCAGCCTGTGACATGCACCAAGGTCTCCAATGACCTCCCTGATCCAAGGAAGGAGGGGAGGGAGGGACGGGAAGGAAGGAAGGGAGGGAGGGAGGGAGGCAGGGAGGGAGGGAAAGAAGGAATGAAGGAGGGAGGGAAGGAAGGAGAAAGGAGAAAGAGGAAAGACGGAAGGTAGGAAGGGAGAAAGGGAGGAAGGGAGGGAAAGAAGGAAGGAGGGAAGGAAGAAAGGGGGGAAGGAAGGGAGGAGGGAAGGGAGGAGGGAAGGCAAGAAAGAGGGAGGGAGGGAAGACAAGGAAGGATTGGAGGGAAGGAGGAAAGAAAGGAGGGAGGGAAGGAAGGAGAGAGGAGAAAGAGGAAAGACGGAAGGTAGGAAGGAAGGGAGAAAGGGAGGAGGGAGGGAGGGAAGGAAGAGAGGAGGGAAGGGAGGAAAGAGGGAAGGAGGGAAGGAAGGAGGAGAAAGAGGAAAGACGGAAGGAAAGAAGGAAGGAAGGGAGGGAGGGAAGGAAGGAACAAAGGAGGGAGGGAGGGAAGAGAAGGAAGGAGGGGAGGGAAGGAGGAAAGAAAGGAGGGAGGGAAGGAAGGAGAGAGGAGAAAGAGGAAAGGCAGAAGGTAGGAAGGAAGGGAGAAAGGGAGGAAGGAGGGAGGGAGGGAAGGAGTGAAGGAAGGGAAGAGGGAAAGGAGGAAAGAGGGAGGGAGGAAAGGAAGGAATGAAGGAAGGAGGGAGGGAAGAGAAGAAAGGATGGGAGGAAAGGAAGGAAAGAGGAGAAAGAGGAAAGATGGAAGGTAGGAAGGGAGAAAGGGAGGAAGAGAGGGAAGGAAGGAAGGAGGGAAGGAAGGAAGGAAGCAGAGAAGGGAGGGAGGGAGTGACGGAAGGAAGGATGGGAAAAGGGAGGGAGTGGGGAGAACAGAAAAGAAGGGAAGGAAGGAGGGAAGAAGAGAAGGTAGGAGGGAGGGAGAGAAGGAAGGAGCGGGGAGGAAGGAAGGAGAAAGGGGAGAAGGTGAAGAAAGGAAGCAGAGAGGCAGGGAAAGAAGAAGGAGGAGAGGGAAGGAGGGAGGAAGGGCGGGAGGGATGGAGGACACAGGGAGCCCTCTGCGAACGCATGTCCCCGCCCTCCTTGGTCCCCGGGGAGCCCTCCCGGCAGCCACCTCCCCGCCCGCGCCCCTGAGCCGTGCGCCCTTCCCTCTGCAGAGCCCGGGCGAGGACCCCTCCAGGATGCACGTCCCAAACAGCACCGGCCCGGACAACGCGACGCTGCAGATGCTCCGGAACCCGACGATCGCGGTGGCCCTGCCCGTGGTGTACTCGCTGGTGGCGCTGGTCAGCATCCCGGGGAACCTGTTCTCCCTGTGGGTCCTGTGCCGACGCATCGGGCCCAAATCCCCCTCGGTCATCTTCATGATCAACCTGAGCGTCACGGACCTGATGCTGGCCAGCGTGCTGCCCTTCCAGATCTACTACCATTGCAATCGCAACCACTGGGTGTTCGGGGTGCTGCTGTGCAACGTGGTGACCGTGGCCTTTTACGCAAACATGTACTCCAGCATCCTCACCATGACGTGCATCAGCGTGGAGCGCTTCCTGGGGGTCCTGTACCCGCTCAGCTCCACGCGCTGGCGCCGTCGTCGTTACGCGGTGGCCGCGTGCGCCGGGACCTGGCTGTTGCTCCTGGCCGCCCTGTCCCCGCTGGCGCGCACCGACCTCACCTACCCGGTGCACGCCCTGGGCATCGTCACCTGCTTCGATGTCCTCAAGTGGACCATGCTCCCCAGCGTGGCCATGTGGGCCGTGTTCCTCTTCACCATCTTCATCCTGCTGTTCCTCATCCCCTTCGTGGTCACCGTGGCCTGTTACACGGCCACCATCCTCAAGCTGTTACGCACGGAGGAGGCGCACGGCCGGGAGCAGCGGAGGCGCGCGGTGGGCCTGGCCGTGGTGGTCCTGCTGGCCTTTGTCACCTGCTTCGCCCCCAACAACTTCGTGCTCCTGGCGCACATCGTGGGTCGCCTGTTCTACGGCAAGAGTTACTACCACGTCTACAAGCTCACGCTGTGTCTCAGCTGCCTCAACAACTGTCTGGACCCGTTTGTGTATTACTTCGCCTCCCGGGAATTCCAGCTGCGCCTGCGGGAATATCTGGGCTGCCGTCGGGTGCCCGGAGACCCCCTGGACACGCGCCGCGAGAGCCTCTTCTCCGCCAGGACCACGTCCATGCGCTCCGAGGCCGGTGCGCACCCCGAGGCGCTGGAGGGAGCCCCCAGGCCCAGCCTCATGAGGCAGGAGAGCGAGTTCTGAGTCTCCGGGGGTGCAGCTTGGAGAGCCAGGGGCGCATGGAGAGGCCGCGGTGCCAGAGGTTCAGGGAGAACAGCTACGTTTCTCCCGGGCACTGCACAGGCACCGGTGAGGAAGGGTCTCCAGGTTTCACTGAGGGTAGAGAAACCAGCCAAGCCCAGCGGCGCACAGGGCGCTCTGTGAGGCTGCAGAGGGGGCCTCGGCCTCTCTGTGCCGTGCACCAGACAGCGTGTGCCACCATGCCCTGCTAATTTTTGTATTTTTTGGGGGGGGAACCGGGGTGTCCACCCCCGACTTCCTTAGACACTCCTTCTCACACCTGTCCGTCTGCGAGCATGGACATTCAACCAGCCCCGCTCCCTCTGCCACTCCATTTCTGGATATATCCTCCCTGGGCAACCTGCTAGCCCCATTCCCAGCTCCTCTTCTTGCTGACATCCTCCCTTAGCTGTGGTTCTGGCCTTTATTCTCCCCTAGAGGTGCTGGTCTCCTTAGCGTGGTGCACACCGACATTGCTGTTGATTTCACTCAGGGCCACTGTGGCGCTTGTGGTTGGAATTCTTCTTTCAGAGGAAGGAGGACAGATTTATATACTTCATCTCTGATGACTGCGGGGGCACCTGAGGTTCCTGCAGGTCAACTACTCCCGTGTTGCCCACATCTGCTCCCTGCCCCACCGCACCTGCTAACCTGGAGCTGACCACAGTGATTTTTGGCACGGTTGCTCTGACCTGGCTTGGAGGGCCCCCCATCCCTCTTCTACTTCTGTGAATCCCTGAGAGGGAAGGAGGTCCCATCAGGCCCCTGGACCAGCATCAGGCCTCCCTGACTCAGGACCTGGGAGGCCCAGGTGTGGAAACGAGGCTCGGTGAGATGGGTCCCAGCCCATCCCAACCCAAGGGTGCAACCTGATTCCGCAGTTCCCGGCCTTCTGCGCATTGTCTGCGTCATGTTTCCCCCCTGGCGAGTCCATCCGGGGTCCAGGAGCAGGCAACTGGCCAGACCCGTGAGACCGTTTGGAGATCAAGCACTGGACACAGGTGTGGACCGCAGGAACCTGCAGGGGTGTCAGTCGCTGGGCCCCCTCCATGCTGTGTGGGTGGTGAGCAGGCTGTGTGTTTGTCTCCCTTCCTCTGCACTGGACGTGCCTGCACCAGCCCCAATACCTGAGCTGGTTTAGTGTAAAGAAGAGCTCTGACTCCCCACAGGCGTCCCAACATCACAGGGAATTGGATTCCTGGCTCTGTTGGGTGAGAAAGACGGTTCTGGAGGCGAGAATGGGAGAGCTGGCCATCTGCCCAGGGGCTCTGGGCAGTCTCCATAGTGGGTGGCCTCGGATGCCCAGCCCCTCCCTTTCTGTGCACTGGGGACACCGATGGAGGCCAAAGCTGCTGTTCAGAGGCCCTCTGTTGGCGCCTCTCTCCTCCCATCATCACCATGGAAGGAAAACAGAGATGGCTTAGTAATGAATTCAATCATTCCCAAAACCCATGTTCACCCGGAACATCAGGATGGGACCGTGTTTGAAAAATCGGCTCTTTACAAATGTAATTTTTTTTTTGTACTTTTTTTTTTTAAATTATGCTTTAAGTTCTAGGATACATGTACATAACGTGCAGGTTCGTTACATATGTATACTTGTGCCATGTTGGTGTGCTGCACCCATCCACTCGTCATTTACATCAGGTATAACTCCCAATGCAATCCCTCCCCCCTCCCCCCTCCCCATGATAGTCCCCGGTGTGTGATGTTCCCCTTCCCGAGTCCAAGTAATCTCATTGTTCAGTTCCCACCTACGAGTGAGAACATGCGGTGTTTGGTTTTCTATTCTTGTGATAGTTTGCTAAGAATGACGGTTTCCAGCTGCATCCATGTCCCTACAAAGTAATGAAGTAAGGCGAGGCCATCCTGCATTTACAATGGGCCCAATCCAGTGTCCCTGTGAGAGACGGAAGAGGAGACAGACACAGAGGAGGAGGCCATGTGGAGACCCAGGCAGAGATTGGAGTGATGCGGCCACAAGCCCAGGGACGCCTGGAGCCCCCAGGAGCTGGGAGAGGCAGGAAGGATCCTCCCCTAGAGCTTTCCAGGCAGTGTGACCCTGACACACCTGGATCTCAAATTTCTCGTCTCCAGGACCGGAGGAGGATAAACTCGTGTGAAGCCCCCAGTTTCTAGGAATTCTGGGATTTCATTTCAGCAGCTCCCGCCAATGCACACACGCATTGAATCCACTCTGACATCCTGAAACTGTGACGTGGACCAGTGCAACGCGCTGGTTCCTGGGTGGGTCATTTCGGGAGGCCCGCTGTGCCCCAGGCTGGATCCCAGGGAGTGCTCTGTGTGTGTGTGTGTGTGTGTGTGTGTGTGTGTGTGAGCAATAAAGCTTTTTAATCACCTGGGTGCAGGCGGGCTGAGTCCAAAAAGAGAGTCATCAAAGGGAGATAGGGGTGGGGCCGTTTTACAGGATTTGGATAGATAAAGGAAAATCACAGTCAAAGCGGGTTCTCTGGTGGGCAGGGGTGCGGGTCACAAGGTGCTCAGTGGGGGTGCTTTTGAGCCAGGATGAGCCAGGAGAAGGAATCTCACAAGGTAATGTCATCACTTAAGGCAGGGACTGGCCATTTTCATTTTCACTTCTTTTGTGCTTTTTGGATGTAATCTCCCAGCTATGGCCACTAGAGACAGATGAAGGCTCCTAGAAGAATGATGTCCCTGTAATGTGTAATGCTCTTTTTGTGTGTGTGTTTTTGTTTCTGTTTTTTGTTTGTTTTTTGTCTGGATAGCACAGGAAGCGTTTTTTTTGTTTTTTTTGTTTTTTTTTTTTTTGCAATGCCCAGCAGTCTGGTGGCTCATTCTCTCCATCACCCCCTAAGTCTGCTTCATGAATGACATCATGAAGGCATCCAGGATCTCTGGAGACAACAGCTCCGTGTTTTCTGATTTTTCTTGATTGAAGGACCAGAGTTTTTTTGGTTTTTGGTTTTTGGGTGTTTTTTGTTTTGTTTTTGTTTCTTTCTTTTTGAGACAGAGTCTCACTCTGTCACCCAGGCTGGGGTGCAATGGCATGATCTCGGCTCACTGCAACCTCCGCCTCCCAGGTTCAAGGGATTCTCCTGCCTCAGCCTCCTGAGTAGCTGGGATGACAGGCACGCACCACCACACCCAGCTAATTTTTGTATTTTTAGTACAGATGGGGTTTCACCATGTTGGCCTGACTGGTGTCCAAATCCTGACCTCAGGTGATCTGCCCGCCTCAGCCTCCCACAGTGCTGGGATGACAGGCGTGAGCCCCTGCACGGTTCTGTATAAAGTACTGCAGACCCCGGAGGTCAGCTTCATAAACCGAGCACCCCATCCCCTCCTTCAGAACGCTCCAGGTCCCCCTCCCATGTGCCGTCGTGGCATGAAACCGGCCTTCCCGCCTTTGCCCTCTGCCGAGCCGTGGTCTTTGGTGACGGCGAGTGAGGCAGGCGTAGACGTGGGACTGCCAGGATGGTGTGCCAGCAAGTGCAGCCTGAATGTCCACATGTCTCCAGAAAAATGAGCCACCGTTGTGAGCTGGTCTGCAGGCTCCAGGCGGGGGAGCCTTCCTGGGAAATAGCGCTCTTCCACACATGGATGAAGGAGAGGCAGAGACTGCAGTGATGCAGCCACAAACCCAGGGACCCCTGGAGCCCCCAGGAGCTGGGAGAGGCAGGAAGGATCCTCCCTCAGAGCCTCCCAGAAATAACTGGATACAATCGTAGTAGATTGAATAGTGGCCCCCAGAGACATCTGTCCATAGCCTAATGCTCACAGCCTGTGAGTAAGACCTTATTTGGAAACAGGGTCTTTGCAGATGTGATTAAGTTAAGGACCTTGAGATTGGATCATTCTGGAGTAGGGTGGGCTCTAAACGCAATGGCAGGTGTCCTTCTAAGACACACAAGAGGAGATGCAGACACAGAGGAGGAGGCCACGTGGAGACGGAGGCAGAGACTGGAGTGATGCGGCCACAAGCCCAGGGACCCCTGGAGCCCCCAGGAGCTGGGAGAGGCAGGAAGGAGCCTCCCCTCGAGCCTCCAGACAGAACTGGGGGCTGCAGGAGAGACCTAGAACTTCCACAAAAAGAGAGAAATTGTCCTCCTGCTTCTCTAGACTGTCCCAAAGCTGAACCCTAGAAAGCAAAGCTGATAGAGAAACCTCCAGGACTGAAAGGCGTCAGTCAGCAAGAGACCCTGTAGGAGATCCGACCACAGGTGCTCAGCGTGAGCCTTGGGTGTGTCTCGTGGCGGTGGGGGGCGGAACCTGTGAAAAACCTCAGAGTAGCACCTTCAGGCCAATGCACAGAAGATCCCTAAACTGCCTTGTAAACAAAACTGAGAGCTTGAGTCAGAGGAAGCCGAGACGATATCCTTCCTCGACACCGTGTGAGAACGCCAACATCCTCCGCAAATGAAGACGCTGCAAGCAGGCAAAGTGCTTCAATTTTTTTTTTTTTTTTTGCCTTTATGACGATCTGTGCAGCCACTTGGCTATGGAGAGCGGCCGACACCCCCTCTTACATCTGTGTATGTTTCCTGGAAGCTGACTCCGTGTGTTCACTTGCCGAGCTTTGAGTAAAAAGATAGCACGTGTCTGTTGACTCACACCCGTGTTTTAAGATGGAAAACTTTACTTCTGTCCTTGGCAGGACATGGAGAGAGGGACGCACTCCAAAAAGTCTCAGCCTCCATCAAGACGTGGTGGTTCATGCCGGTAATCCCAGCACTTTGGGAGGCTCAGGCCGGAGGACTGCTTCAGTCCGGGAGTTCAAGGGCCAATCTAGGCAACACGGTGAGACCCTGTGTCTGTCAAAAATAAAAATAAAACATAAAGAAAAAATCAGCGTTGATGCTGCTTCTGTTTTGTTCCACTGCAGAAGGCAAATGTGTTTCTGTCTCTGATTTCTGTGGGGTTTGCGTTTTAAACACAGACCCCATTTGATGCTGGATCCAATGTCTTATCCTCTTCACAGGCTCCTTGTCTTGGTCCCTTTATCCTGCTGGAAAACAAACAAACAAAAACAAAAACAAAACGCCATTGCTTTACTCAGGGTTCTCTAGAGGGACAGAACTAATAG